TTGATTCGTAGAAACCTCAGCAACAGTTTTATTTAAAGAAACAGTACGTATGGGTTTAAGGTTTTAGCAAAATTTTTAAAATTGCAATTTTGTCAATTTGTGTAATTTGTGACGATCATATGATAAAATTTTAGATGTGACAAATCGTGTGACTGTTATTGAATTTCGAGAAGCATCATCATGTGGCCATAAACTGAGCATTTAAAAATCCAAGTCTATTAAATATATACATGAAAACCTCCTTAAGTGCACTCATAGGGAACAATTTTTAACAACGTGCATTTAGAGAATAACACGAACAAGTGCATTTATAGAAGTCAAGTATTTATTCGGGCCGGAATTTGAGTGTACATTTAGGGAGGTCGTGTGTTTAGAGAGGTGCACTTAAAGAGGTTTCTTTATATATATATATACAGTAAGAATTTAACAAAAGTTCAATTCTTCAAATCCGCCGAATCTGGTTGCCGATTAATTATCACCTTTAATTAATAAAGATTTCTTATATTATTAATTCAAAATTTCCTTTGGTTTTAAATAAACCAACAATTGAATATTCTCACGCGTACAAATCGTGTTAACCGTTTAATTTGGCTGGAATTAAAATAATTTTCTAAGCAATTAATGGATACAACCCTTAGAATAAGAGATAATTTCACAATTAATTTAAACGGAATTATATTTTTTCAGGAGTGTGACAAAATAACTAGTAATTAAAATAAGAAAACATCGAAAAATAGCAGAAATTAAATTTATTTTCTATAACTAATTCTGATTTTCAATTCCGTGAACTGAGTATTAATATTATTTTGCAATGAAGGTTCCTTAGTAATTACTCTAAATTTATATTTACTATATAACAAAGTAATCAACATTTTAAGTTGAGTCATTGCCAAGTGTTTACCTGGACACATACGTAACCCACCGCCAAAATACATGAAGGCATTTTTGTTAAAACTTTCGGATTTGTTATTATTTGGTAAAAACCTTGAAGGATTAAATTCATTAGGCTTTTTCCAATAGTTTGGATTCATATGTAAACCCATAACATTAATCGCTAATTGTGTTGATGACGGAATTTTATATTCATCAATTTGATCGAAATTTTCTGAAAAACGAGAAATAGTTGCCGTAATTGGCCTAATTCTTAATGCTAAAGAAAAGTCATAAACGTTTGAATGATGTTAGACAATCGATTGTAATTAAAGATTTTTTTTTTGAATGTTTTTTGAAGAATTACTAAAAAAATTACCTTCTTTTATCACAGCTTCGATATATTCAAGTTTACTTAAATCTTCATAAGTAATGTTAAAATTAGGACCATGACCAAATACTCGCTCTATTTCATCAATAATAAGTTGTTCAACCTCCAAATTATATCCAACGTAATAAACAATAAATGATAAAGTATTTGCAGGCTTAAAAAAAAAATGAAATAAAACAAAATTAAAAATAAAAAATTATGAAGATAATTTTAAAAATAAGTAGTTATAATCATAAATTTAATGATGTTAATACTTACACTATCAATTCCTTCACTAAGTATTTCTACCATATTATCAGCAACTTCTTCATCAGTCATAGGCATCATAGGTTTTTCGTTGTTGTCATTAGAAATACTATGAGTAATGTCTCTTGGTGTATTGGCGGTTAATAACATAGTTAAAATATCAAAAGGTAACTTCTCTTTATCTTCGATGGATTCAATTATTTTTCTATTTTCCTTGACCAGATCACAAACGTAATTTCTTGTCCAAGTTAAATTCTTGTATAAATAATTTGTGTAAAATTTTATAAGTGGAAAATTACGTATCAATGGCGGAACAACTATAAAATATTGCACACATTCAGAAGAAAGAATTAAACGATCCAAAAATTCTTCTTCATTTGAATTTTGAGAATTGATGAGATTCTTTGTGATCTTATTATAATGATTTGGTAATAAATCAAGTTTCTTACTGGCAGTTAAAAGCATTATTGTCTCAGCAAAAAAATTTCTTGACCAAGGTACAAAATCAATTTCAAAAGATTTTTCATGTTCATCATTCAAAAATTGACCATAATTATCAATTAAAGAATTCCAAAAATTTTCTAATTCTTGAAAAGTATTGGTTACTGTAACTAATTTTAAATCGTTAGGAGTCATTATAACTTTAAAAAATTTTCTAATATAAGACCAAGAATTGAAATCAACGTTAAATAATAACCCATTATTTCCCTTCTTTAATTCGTCTAATCCATCTTTAGCCGTAATACGCACAAAATAATTGCTATCTTTTACGGGGCTCATTACTCTTTCAACTATTTTCGGATCACTTATCATTAAATATTTACAAGAACCAAAGTATAATTCAAATACATCACCATGTTTCGAACTCAAATGGTGGAGCCAAGATAAAAAATCATTACTATGATAATAATATTGATGTAGGTTACCTATGATAGGTAACGGAAGTGGGCCCGGGTATGGAGTTGAACGAGTGAAATAATCATAGTAAAACTTTAGAATGAATAATATAATAATAATAACAAGGAATTCTAAAATTAACATTTTTAAAGAAAAAGAATTAAGTTTCTTAAAGAAGAGAATATAACTTATTGCGGTTTGCAAAATTGTGTATTATTAATTTTTTTTTATGATTAAATGATTGTGATTGCGATGGCGATTGCTAAAGCCAGCCAATTTTATCATGAATCTGAGATTATGTCAAGCCCAGATTTATGATAAATTGGCCGGCTTTAGCAATCGCGATCGCAATCACAATCATTTAACGTTAATCATAAAAAAATTAATCATAGGGGACCGACCGCAATAATAGAGTTACACAATTACAGTATATAGATACGATTTTGGTTTATCGACGATGGTTACATGTGACTGAATGCAGCAAATGCAGAATTAGTTAGTATTAGTCGATGATTAAAGTCACATGGTTTTTATCAACTACCCTAGCCCAACCGGGGTTAAATCGAATTTACAGATCATGTGATTCGAATGATTAATGAATTGTGATTATCCTTAGCCGAGTTCATAATGCATGTCGCAGATCATAATGAAATCGGATTAAAATGAAACTGGGGACCTTTCTTGCTCATCTTTAAAGCTTATAAAACCC